GAGCTGCAGGATGTGCGCCCAGCTTTCTGGTTTTGAACAACCAGGCAGACGTGGGTACTAGGTGACGAGATGGAGATGCAAAGAGGGGCCTGTTTGAAGGACAGGGTGTTGAGTTGGATGGTCACGTGGAGTTTGAAGAGCCTGAGGGAAGTTGGCTCTGGGTCTGGGGAACCAAAGTAGGGCCACCAGCAGAAAAACAGTAATGGAATCAAGGGTGGTGAGTGGGATCAGCTGGGGAGCCTGTGGGGAAAAGAGGTCCCCGGGGTAAGGGGTGGCGTCTAAAGATGAGTGACCGGGGAGGTAAGGACAGAGCTGCGTGGGATTTGGGAGTGGTGAACCAATTGCAGAGTCAGATGCTTCTGAGAGGCAAAGCTCCTTGAGGTTGAAGAGTGTCCGTTAGTGTCTCAGGCAGTGATGGGTGAGGAACCCCGGGTGGCAGAGCAGACCACTAGGTCCACAGGCTTGGTGCCAAAGGCAAAAAGAGAAACAGACCCACAGCTGGAAAGAGGGGTGGGATCAAGAGAGCCTTTTTTGTTGTTTATTTCCCCATTTTTTAAATGGAAGAGGGACATAAAGAGTGACACTTGTGTAATGCAAAAGGAGAGGCACCAAGAGAAGTGGAGGACAGTGGGAGGAGGAGGATGGGAAAGCAAAGCCCACGAGGTGGGGACAGGGGCAGAGCACAGACAAGGGATTCAAGGGAAACACCTTGGCAAGGAGAAAGCCTTTCCCACCTTAGTGGTGGGGAGGCAGACGCAGCTGTGGGTGGGGTTCAGGGCTGGAGAGGTTAAAGAAGTTGTTCTCATAGCATCTGGTCTGTGTTCTCACGACTGAGCAGAGAGGAAAGAAATGGGTGGGAGAGGGGAGGTCAGAGGTTTGAGGACTGTGGAGAAGGTTCTAGACATTCAGAGGAATGAGTGGGAGAGACAGCTGACCAAGAAAGTCAGAGAGCCTGATGGGCAGTGCAGGGGGATCAGCAGAGGGAGAAGCTGAGGGGGGACACAGGTGTGTGGCAGTGGCCAGGTCCCGTCCACCCACAGGTGCTGGGGCCAGCTCTGAGAGGGGCCACAGGGCTCACTCAGCGGGTTTCAGCCAGCTGGGTAGGGCGTTCAGGAGGTTGTAAGACATCAGGAGAAGCAGTGGCCCCCGGAATCTTAGCTGGTAAGAAAGCAAGGTGCGATGGAGAGCCTGCCTGGGAGGGCAGGCGGGGTCAGAGAGTGAACTTGGTATTTGCAGTCCCTGAGCTCACGTGTAGATGGAGGCTGTGGCTGGAGACGAAGACGGGCACTTCTGAATTTGCGATTATAGGACTGACCCTGCTCTGTCCTCAAGAAATGTGGTGGGAGGGTACCGTGTCCCAGAAGGAAGCCAGGGAAGGTGAAATTAAGAGGCCTGGGGTGTTAGACCTGGACCGTGAGGACTGGTGACACAGGGACTTAGAGTAGCAGTTAGTGACCCAGCCTTCAGGCCCTGAGGTCCTAGGGGTGTAAGGACTGGAGTCGCTTTCCTCTACTGAGCTCCCAAGTTTTAGGAGGAAGCTAGAATGGGTGGGGCTCCTGTCTTGGGGGGGTCCAGCCACACAGGGATGAGAAGTCTAGTGTGTGATCTGTACCAGCAGTACCCTCATGACTACAGGGCCCAGCCTTGTCATGAAGCCAGGGACACCCCTCCCGCCTTCTTCACTCCCCACGAAAGCCAAAGAGCTGTTAGCTGCTGACTGGGCAGTCCAGGTGGAGCCCAGGGCTTCTGAAAATGAGAAGGAGGGCACCTCTTGGTGGTCCTAGCATCCTCATCCTGGAAGGGCTGGGCCCAGCACTCCCTGAAGCCGCATCTCTGTACAGTTGGGCTGAGTCTGAGGTCCTAGGCGAGGCTCCGCGTGCCCCGGGTGCTTGGAGGCACCACTGTGTTCGGAAGCTGCAAGTAGCTCTCACGGCTCTACCTGTCTGCATAGGGAAGGGACCCAGGGCCAAGAAACCCCACGGTACAGAATTAGAGACCATCCCTGTAGGAAGGACTTTCTAGGTCATTCCGTTTACCACCCTGCTGGCTTTGCTGGGGAAATGGAGGCCCAGAGCAGCCAAGGGACCAGCCCAAAGTCATAAAAGCCAAGTGCTGATATGGGAGGGAACTCCAGAGGCCACTCCCAATTTAGGCCCCCAGGTCTGAAATGTTACCATCTGCTTCTTCTGTGGGACCTTCTCTCTTTACTCAAACACCTGACCTACCCAGGGGCAGTGGAGAAAGGCAGAGTTGTGTTAGGAAGAGTCAAGGAGTACTGGAGGTCTTTGTTGGGTGTTTCTCTGGCGAAGATAATGGAGAGATGGCAGGGGGTGATGTAAGTGAGCAGTCCTGGCCTCGCAGATGCTCCATGTCCAAGTCCAAGCTCTTTTCTTCCCCCAGGTCTGCTTCAAATTGGCATAGTTCTTCTGGGTGTCTAACCAAAGGGCCTCTTGTTGAACCCAGGCCTCTTTCTCTAGATTGGGAAGGTTATGGTCATTGCGATCATTTGCGGTCATTTGCGTAATAAGTCTGTTCTCTGGAAGGGGAAGGTAGGGACCTGATTTTCAGAGGCCCCTCCTCACGTGCATCAACCCTACCAGGATGCAGGTGGGCCTGGACATTAATAGGTGTTTTGAGGCCTTACTGTAACCTACAGCACCAAGGCCATCAGCCAGTTGGCTGAGAGGACCTCATTCCCACCGTTCATCCTCCCAATTAATTCTCTCTAACGAGGAGCTGCTTCTGCTGTGTGGGGATCAGGTCTCACATCCCAAAAGCCAGTGGGATTTGCCACAATAAGTCTGGACTTGCTTGGGCTGACCTGGGTTTGCCAAGAGTCACCAAGGTTGTCAACAGGAGTAATCGCTGGAACACTAATTAATTAATTAGCTAGGAGGACTTGGAGATTGAGTTTAGGAACTGATTCCTAGCCTGGCTGGCCTGCGGGGATTGGTGTGATGTTTCCAACCCGATGACCCCAGAGGTTGAGGAAAAAACTTCAATCCCTGGGCGAGAGTTTTGTCTGCTCTTTTCAAATCGGTATTTCTGCCTATTGAAATGATGTTAATTTTAAAATTAAGATCTCAAATAATAATAATAGCTACTATTCGCTAAGCATCTACTAGGCCAGGCAGCATGCTGGGAGACTCTGTGTGCCTTGTGTTAAATCTTCCTAATGTCCTTCAAGTTCCAGGTACTACTGACTGTCGAGGGATGTAACCTAGACAGATGCATGCGTCTCAGGCGCTGGGGAGAGGTTTTGTCTGGAGACTTGGAAGTGTAGGTGCATGGAGGGAACTAAAGCTGAGGAAGGGGTGGGGGCACTGTGGGAGGAGGAAAAGGCATCAAGAAAGAGCAGGAGTAGCCAGGGCTGAGGGAGAACCCCAAGGGAGTAGCTTCATGGACGCTGAGGACAAGGACATTTCAAAGAAGAGGGAGCTCTCTGCAATGAGCTGCTGCCGAAGGGACTAGAAGGGGTTGACGAGACTTGGAAATGGTGATGTAGCTAAACGAGGCAGTCTAGGAGGCAAATGGTAGTCTATTTTCTCTCTTTGTTCAGAGAATTGAGCTCAGGGATGGGAAAGCATTAAAAAACAGCAAAGAAAGTTTCATTTACTGTGTGTTCTGTGAATTGGAGTTTCGGAACCTGGAGAGAGGGCAGTGATGGGTCTCTGAGTCCAGTAAGTAGATGGGTCTGGTTGTCTGTGGTGGGGAAATGGGGGTCCAGAACATGACAGTCCTACAAGGTAGGTACCCATATTATTCCTTGTTTACAAATGAAAAAACTAAGGCACATCAAGGTCCAAAGCTGGTAATGATGGAGTGAGCTCTGTACCCACAGAAGGATTTCACAGCCCTCCTCTGCCCACCCCCACCACACTATAAAATGAGAAGGCCTGGGTCTGAGCCCCAAATGGCTCCCTGCTAATATACCGATAGGAACATTCCAGCACCCTCACGCAGCCCTCCTACCCTTTGTGGGGAATCCACATCCATGTTTACAGGGACCCTCTGGAGTAGGTGTTAGTGCCTTTGTTCTCTTTGACCCAGAGCTGGGGGGTTGTCTGGCTGGCCAGCAGGTGGGGTAGGGAACCTCCTTAGGAACTTGGGTGTGAGAATGGGGACACAAGGTCTGGCCTCCCAGGCTCAGTCTCATTGCCATGCAGGGAACACGGAGTCTACCCTGGTGGACCCTGTGACCTGCAGGTTAAGGCTGTGGGGCATTGGCCAAGGCTGTGCCCATGCATGGGCCCATCGCAC